GAGAATTTGAACATTGATTTTATTTGCAGAATTGTACTTATTTAAGAGAATATTTCATTGTACATGTGATTCTTTCTAAATTTGCAACCAACACCATGTGATGTCCAGGGCCTTGGCATTGTAGTTTTTATGCTTAATATGTTACCTAATTTGAAGGCATCTTAAATGTGATTTCTTAAAGTTCTTTGGAGATGACAACCTCTGGAGGATGGCTGACAATGAATTAATTCCAAAGTTGCTTAGGATGACGAAGTAATCCTTTTTCTTTGTCATTAAATCTGTAATTGCTTTGCCATCCTCTAGGTTGTCATCTTGTAAAGGATGGCTGACAAGGAATTAGTTCCAATGGTGCTTAGGATGACAAAGCAATAGTTTTTCTATCTCATCAAATTTATTGCTGCTATGCCATAATAACCATAAATGTTAGTTTTATTTCTTGAAATATGAGCAATGCTCTCATGGAAAAAATCTTTCCTGGTTGGAGAAACCCATGTCTTTTGTTACTTTGATGCCTTAACTTTACCTTTATTTGTTTTGCACTTCAAACAATGTTTGTTTTGGTATCTTAACCAATTCCTGCCAAGTCTGCAACCGAGAATCTTAATTCCACTATAAACCTCACCTCTCTACATTGTCATCCAACTCTTGTTATCCCTTTCGCTTGTGTTGTGCTCAAAAAATAAGGATAACAAAAGAATTGATATTTTTCTTCTTCTTCCTTTTGGCATGCTTCAATGCCTTATGCTTGCAATACAAATAAACAAAGCTTTTTAAGTTGAATGCATAACAGGAGGCGTTTACCCCTCATGAGGTGAAGTGTATACCTTGAGGCATAGGCATTTTAAAAATTTATATTTAGTAAATAAATAAAATATTTTAAAATAGGAAAAAATATTAAAAATTAAATTTTAAAGTATAAATGCGTTTTCTCTTCATGGCGTAGAACATTTCATTGCAAAGAACGAAACTTGCCCTCGCTGAATATGAAATCGACATTCTTAGTTATTGAGTTTCTCACTTGAGCCTTAGCTTTTTGTTTTTCCTTGATTGGTGATTTACTTTATTTGCCCCATGAAAGATAGTTGCAAAAGAGTTACTAATTATTTATTTATTTTTAATGTTTAAACCATGTGTTATACTAAGTTTAACAACCACCAAAGACATGCTCTCTATATGCGTACTCTTTGTATGTTTACAAAAAGCATACATGGAGCACCTGGAGCGTGTTGCACAAGAATTTGGAGACTTTTGCTTAAAAGTCAAAGCCTCAATGCGTTTTGCCTTAGGTTCACCTCCAGGGGAGCCTCAATAATGCCTTTTAAAGCTTTGCAAAGAAGTTAAATCGTGTGGTTTTTTTTTATATTTCTTGTATTGACATAGAGATTTAAAAAAATATATTTAAACATGATACTTCTTGTTTTTATTCAAGTTGGTCTTAGGATACATATGATGTTTTACATTTAAAGTTGGTCTTAGGATGTTATTTGTTGGATTGTATGTTTCATTGATCATTAATTTTTACTATACATAGAAGTTACCCTCATTCTGGCTTTTGTTTACATTGGTTTTGGATAGAGAGAAACTTTTACTTTGCAATAAATGGCGGATTCGATTCCTGATGGTTGGCATGCCGAAGATGAAATTGGTAAAAATGGTAAAGAAATTAAGGTAATCTAGCATCTTCATCTCATTCCCCTAGTGCTTTTTGTTTTTTTTCATATTCAGATGTATTGTTAACTGTAAGTCATCATTTTTCTGTTTATGTTATTGGAACTAATTTCATTAAATTATGAACTTCCATTTTCTATGACTGGTTTCCCTATGTTCTTCCCCCAAATATGTCTGACTTAGATTTACCAAATTTAGCTACAAAATTATAGAAGTTTGAGTTCAACTCTTGAATTTTCAACATGATTGAGTTCAAACTTCTCACTTCTTACCAATAATGAAATTCTAGTGAAAAAGATGTCTCGGTATTGAAAGTGTAAAACATTGATGGGTATGTTGCAGCGTTTAAAAAAAAAAAGGCATTAGTATCAAGTGATGGAAAAGCAGTTACTACTCCAAGATGTCAGACTTAAGAGAGTTATCCACTGTGGTCAGAATAGCTTAGTGTAGAGCATAGCCTTTCCCACCCCATGTTTTGAAATTGTTTCCATATGCTAAACTACTTAAAGGATGTAATTTTCTCCCTCTTTGTCTCACACCAGTTGCTGGAATTTTGTCTCGGGCAGCAGTTTCATCCTTTCATCTTTTGTTTTTAACTTCTTTGGATAAAGAACCATGTGCTAGAGGTACTAGAGAATCAAAACTAGTGGAAAGGACAGTAGGATTTGAAACAACATACAAGAAAACCCAAATGGGTTGCATAGCTCAAGTTGGATGGAGATTCCATTTTAGAAGCCAGCCTCCTATTATGGGGAAGAGTTTTACTAGGGTATAATTCCGTAATCTCTTGTGCGTTACAAGATTCTATTCAATTTCAAACCTCCCACATCTTTAATTTCCTAATTTTTCATCAAAATATTCGGTCTTCACTAATTGATGTCATAAAATTATTCAGTTGTTGACCTTTTGCTTCATTCCATTTAGCTTTTCATGCATTCATGTTAGTGAAAGGAAAGACAAATTGTATTCTAATGTGTGTGGTGAACTGTAAATCTTTGCTCTATAATTGTTAATTATGTATGGGCTCAAAAGTCAAAAGCTATGAAGCACGGGTACGGACACGGACACGGACACGGGATACGGCAATTTCCAAAAAATAGGGACACGGACACAACGGGGGACATGGCGAATTTTTTTTAATTTTTTTTTATTATTTTTATGTGTTATGTAGATTCATATTACATTCATCCTAAATCAAAATTGCAAACGCTAACATAGTAACATTAATTCAATAAATATAATCACTACATTTAAACAAATTAATAGATCATCCATTCACAAAAAAGTCATAATAAACGACAAAAAGAACTAAGATGAGAAGGGGAAAACATTCAACATCCAACAATATTCTTTACAAAAGCACTCAATAAGAGAGAGAGAGAGAGAGAGAAAAAAGAAAAAGAAAAAAAGAAAAGTGAGCCCCGCCGTGTCCCGATATGGACACGTTTGTCCCCGCCGTGCCCCCTACAAAAAAATAATTAAATTAAAGGGACACGACATATGACGTGTCCTGTACGTGTCCCCGACGTATCCGCGTGTCGGACACCGCCACGACACCAATTTTGGAGTGTCCATGCTTCACAGGTCAAAAGTCAAGAAGTGAATGCTTGTTCAAGCCCTAACGCCAACCACCTTGCGTGTGTTAGTGTAGAAGTTGGGTTTGTACCCAGTCTACCCCTTCGTATTTACAAGATCAACAAATCAATCTTATTATGTATGGGCTCAAAAGTCAAAAGTCAAGAAGTGAATGCTTGTTCAAGCCCTAAGGCCAACCACCTTGCGTGTGCCACTGTAGAAGTTGGGTTTGTACCCAGTCTACCCCTTCGTATTTACAAGATCAACAAATCAATCTTTCTATAAAGGTTCTAAAACATGTAAAGTGGTGCAGTATGGGTATTGCATCCACAGAGACAATTGTATAATTCTAGCTATTTCAATTATTAGTTCCCAAATTAGTTTTGTTGAATGGAATTTTTTGTGAGAATGAGCTAGATAATAAAACCCTAATTAAATAAGTAAGAAAATTTAAGTTAAAGAATAAGAAACGCTAACTTGGGGATCTGAATCCACCGCTAGTTCCTGTTACACAGTCTTGGGTAGAATTCACCCCAAAAGCTAGCTATTACGGTGAGGGTGCCCTCACACGTATATGCTTAATATTACTTTAGTACTCAAGTGATATAGGACTTCGCTTCACACTCTCCCTCACACCCATTACTTTAGTAGTACTCAAGTGATATAGGACTTCGCTTCACACCCTCCCTCACACCCAGCGTGCTCACTCGGCAACACTTGCGGTGTGTAGGCCAAGGACACGCCCCCTACCCATCCCTGAGTACTCCAGCTCTAATATCATGTTACACAGTCTTGGGTAGAACTCTCCCCAAAAGCTAACTATGAAGGTGAGGGTGCTCTCACACTTATATGCTTAATATTACTTTAGTACTTGGGCAATTTGGGACTTCGCTTCATAGTTCCATACCCGGAATTCTCATCGTAGATTACACAATTGATTGATTGGAATAGGTCAATTTCTCAACTACAAGTTGGAAATTGAAAAGGAGAGTAATGTTGTGTTCGAAGCGAGAGTACGACCTATCTCAACTGGCACAAATTGTCCACTCTAAACTAGGGTCGGTGGCATAACCTGTCTAGTGAAAGCATAGCCCGTCTCAAGTTCCCACAAAACAACAATGAAAAAAGAGAGTAAAACATTCATTTGCAATCACATAAATTGAATGAAGTGAAAAGATAGAAACATGCTTAGTCAAAAACTCGAAAGTTATACAATTTTTTAAATCAAATGATACAACACAAATCTCTCAAGATGAAAATTCGGTTACTTGGCTAGGTTATGAAACCCTAAGTATGGTGCTTAGCCACTCATGGAGATAGGAAGGAGTGACCTACGTTACGTGGACTCTGATACGAGTGTCGGGTGCTAGTATGTATCTAGAGGTCAAACATGGCAAACCTCTAAATGAGGGATACATGAGTACGTGGGTACGGCTAAACATGGATGTGTTAAAAAAATATTATGTATTTTTTTGATAACATGGTAGTTCTATTATAATTTCTCTTCACCACACCACACCCGCTCATCACCCATATTTGAATTGGCATCCCAGTAAAATATAAAATATAAAAAAAAAATTAAGACTAAAATAATTTATATTAAGTATGATTTTATTATTATTATTTTTAAAAAATAGATGATTTATTTTATATTGTAAAATAAATAAAATAATAATTTATGTATATAATTATTTTATAATATAAATAATTTATATTATATATGATTTATTTTATATTATATAGTTTGATTTATTTTGTTATCTGCTAAAAAGAGAGAACACAGCTCGATAAAGCCACACACAGAGAGAGAGAGAAGACATACCAAGATCGAGAGAGGAAAAGAAGAGGGAGATCAAGACTTAATGATTCTTCTCCCTTGGAGGCACGATCGAGAAGAAGAGGGAAATCTCATCAGAGGCGTGATTCTTCTCCGATTGTTCGTCGGAAGAACAAAATTGCGCTTCTTCTTCAGATTCATGATGAGATTTGACGATTCCTGCTACTAAGCCCTAATCTCCATTTTCGTAGCCCTAATTGCAAGTATGCCATTTTTCTTCTTACTTCCGTATGCTGTATCCATTTTCTTACTGCCATATTCCGACCAGATTCCATACCTGTACCTGCGTCGTGTCATGTCGTGTGGACACGGGTACTTCGCCAAAAGTGACAAGTCTGTGTAACATAGGGAGTGACAAGGAAATGGAGGAGATCGTGAACCCCATAGTTGTGTAAGTTTGCTTCACCTCTAGCCCTAGTTGCCTCCTCTTACCAGAAGTATCAGAACCCTTTTTCTTTATTTTCTTTCTCCTTTTGTACTTGAATTTTCTTCAGGTCAGTTCTCATTTTCACACATGCACTATGAGGTGTGGCTTCTCGTGCGGTGGAGCTTTAACGGTAGGCTTTTGGACACTGGCCGAATGTGCAGAGGCTTAGCAGTGTTGTCGTGCTTGTCATGCGTTTGTTGCTTGTACAGAGTTCTTGCTGCTTTTGCCAAGAGAATCTATGATCCCTTTCTCTTTAGTTCGACCACTTTTTAACCATTTTATTGAGAACTGTTTGTCAAGCCTGCACACACATAAAACACATAATATCTGCCAAGTAACTATACCTCAAGGACTATAAATGCAAATTAGATGGCCTCAATGTGATGCCTTTTGGCCCAAATCAGTCACCGCCTTTTGGTTAGCTCAAAATTCATTTCCTTTCTGCAGTCTTGTTTTTTAATTTTTTCACCCAGGAAAGAGTTATGTGCTAACGACTTACATTTTTACTAAGCGTATTGGCATCTACCGAAGGCTATGTTGCTCAAACCACCAAAAAATGAAAGAAATAGTAATAAAAAAATAAATAAAATGAATTTATGTAATTTGATCAAATTCAAAAACTTTTGACACTATATATCATAGTATCTATTGATTCTAGAACTACACTCACTATTCCCTTTGTTGTGTGGCTTTGTAGTGTTATAAAAATGATATAGGCCAGACATTCTACAGCGAGCAAGATCTTATGCGTTACATAAACTATGCGAAAAGAGCTAAGGTCTCCATTTATGCACCGGTAAGTTTGATTTGTAAAAGTGGTACTTGTATTGAAAAAATGATGATACTTCTATGTTATTTCCATGTTTACATGTGATCACCTTTGGTTTAGAATGCATTAGTGCGCCTCCTTCAGTTTTTACCATCATTTATGATTATCATTTTTCTAAATTACTTGCACGAGGTACCTGGGGGTGATAAGGTAAGGTTAATGCCAAATGCAGGTACACTTTTTTATAGCAGCAGAATTTATAATGTTTATTTATCCTGTCTGGCTATGAAGATGTCTTACGTATGTTGATTCAATGTTCGCCATGGAAGAGATATGGAGAAAGTTCCCAGTGTGGTCTTTTTGTTCACGACTTGATTATAGTAACACATTTCCATACATTCTAACCTTCCAAATTTCCAAAGCACCTGAAGTACTACATGTCACTTTAGTGTTTCTTCATGAATTGTGTGCGAGGGGTTCAAATCTTTAAATAGATATAGATGTTAAATGTAAGAATGCTGAGAAATAGCTTTAAATTATTCATCCAATATCATCTTCATGGACACAGAAACAGACCCTCTAGTCAAAATAAAACTTATGTAGCAAGATTGTCATATTCAAGGTATGATAAGAGTGTGACTGTATTTTAGTCAATAACCCAAACAAGTTGGTACAAAGCTGACCTGTAAATAGTGTCTCCCAAGTAAGCTGGTGTGGAGGAGTTGACTGCAGGTTTGAGGTTTACCAGAGAGTGGCAAAACACATAAGAGGCACCAAAGACAAAAATGGGATGACTGGGAGGGAGATGGAGCAGTACAACAGAGAAGTGAGAGCAGAGCAGGGCTCAACAAGAGACGATGTGTTCTAACCATGATGTCATGAAAGTACCACCTTCTATACATAGGATGCAAGCACATGGTTGTAACTAATTGTCCAGTATGTTCCCCATATTTTTGGGGATCTTGTGAAAAGTTAGTTAGACCATTTGGATTACATAATGATCTTAGAGAAGCCTAGTTGTGAGGTCTCTCTCGCAATAGGACTGACCTAAGGTGGCTTGACTTGCATGGGGTGGACACAACACCAAGGCAAGGCTCCATACCAAGGACTACAACATATCTAATACTTTCCTCTCAACCTAGATACTTCCTAAGTAATTGAGCAGTACAACTACTGGAACAAGGTAATAAGACGGGCATTATGACAACTATAAAAATGAGTTGTGCGATTATGACTATTACGGCCATGAGATGGCCTGATCTCCTGAATCCTGTGGGATGTCAAGTTGGTGAGGCTTCATAGAGATGAGTTCTTAGGTCTTGGATATAAATTGTCTAAAGTCCTTCGATCTTATTCAGTTTAGTCTGAACATGTGGACCATACATGCCTCCATCATGGGAAACATGTGTAACTCTTTATGCTGACATGTAAGACACATCCCATTGTGTACGTGTGCATGACACATTGGCGGTAATGGTGGTATCTACAACTGGGAAGTAAGTTGCTATTCTGGTGTCCATCAACCATAGCTGTTTGTTTTATAGACTTTCATTCTACAGAGAAGGTTTCCAGTGAAGATACTCACACATGGTTAGTGATTTTATGATCTATGATAGTATATTAGATTCTACATTTCATATGAGAATTGGATTATCTATCTTACACTACTGCATAGGAAAGTTCGAATAAGTCTTGTAAAGAAAATATTGAGGGATCCATTATGCCTTTTCACTGGAAAAGAATCCTAGAAAAGCAGATAAGATCCAGAACTTGTGGTTAGTTTGCCTGCTATCTGTAGATGAGTTTCTATTTTCTAAAATGGTTCACTTCTGAAAATGCAGACAAAAGATTTGCGAATGTAATGCTCTCAAGTTGTTTTCTGTTATTAATAGACCAGAAATATACTAGTTTAAAAAAATATTTTTAAATGTCGTCGAAACCCCATCCCCCCAATGCTGCCCTAAATCTGTCTTTTGCATCATTATCACAATTTATTTTCCTTTATAGAAAAGGTTTGCAAACAAATTACATGTGGTTCCATGCTTTTCTTTCTATTTCTGTACTGCTCTATTTGGTTCACTTGAATGAGATGGAATGGAATTATTCAATTATCATTCCCTTACAATGGTGAATAATGTTTCTATTTGCAATGTATTTTTCAAAATTTTTTTAATCAACCAAACATGGGAATGGAATTTTCGATGGAATGATAATTCCATTCCACTGCATTCCAGACTTCTAGTGAACCAAACACTACCTAAGTTCCTAGTAGTCTCATTGGAATTCTAGATAAGGGATAGGTAATCTCACTGAAATTTTGTTAATAGTTGTAGTTTGCACAACTCAATTCAAAAGAGCCCTTTCTGAGAGGAAGGTTCCTGGATAAAAAAGGGAGATTATGGTTGCCAATATGAAACTGTTTGTAAATGGTTTTCCTTGAACAATGCAAGAATTCTGGGTTCTTACACGTGTGTTTCCTTATTGCAGAACTATACTCCAACTGTTGGCGCATCCCGACGCAGAAAAAAACAGGTCAACAACCAATGTTTGTTTGTTTGTTTTACATATCCTACTTCATGAGTAATAATATGCTTGTTATTTCATACTTGTTAAGTAATTAACCTTTTCAATACCTACCAAGTCACTTATCTGGTTCTGGTAATTCAAATAAAATACTAGGAGGCAAGCGTGGGTTACATAAAATCTGGTTGTCCTGGGCTATTGAAATTTTTGTAATAACAATGCAATAAAAGTATAGGGGTGTTGGTACCTGGTAATACCTTTTTATGAATTAGCAGCACATCAAATCCTTGTATAGATAGCACTGAAGTCTTCAATTCTCTGTGATATTATTTCTAGGGTAAATTACAGTTTACCTACATTAAGTTTCATATATTTTTACTTTGGCCTTTAAAATATTTTTTTTCTCCCTTTGACCCCTAATGTTTGTAAATTTTTTTTTTTAAAATTTACTCCCAAAACCAACTCCCGTCCAATTTTGGATGGAAAATGCCACGTAGGCAGCCATGTGGCATAAAAAATACAGTATCTTGAGTTTTTTGATAAATTATACTTTGCCCCTTTAAGTTTGACAAATTTTTCACATTAGCCCCTAAATTTTGTAATTTTTCCCAATTTAATAACAAAGCAACTTTAGTCCAATTTTGGATGGAAAATGCCATTTTGGTAGCATTGTGGCATAAAAGTATATTATATTAGAAGTGTAAGACCCAAAATTCAAATTCAAATTCTCCTGTGACTGACAGAAGTGGTGTTCTTCAGTTATGCACCTTCACTCGTGTTGCCTCATACTTGTGATAGTTGTACCTGCACAATTTTATGACCTTTGTTTCATTGTTTAAAGCATCTAAAAGCAACAGGGCCTCTTTGATATGGTTGTTGTGGCCGGCCATACAACATGCTGCGTGATCATAATTTATTTTTAAAATCTTTTCTTTCTCTCATCAATTTGTCTCTTTCAGCGACCTAATCCCCCAAAAGTAAGGAAAGAAGCTGAAAAGGAAGCAGCAGGGAAGCAATGCTCGAAAGGTCTCATGCATGCTTCCAACGAAAGTAATGTCCTGACACTACTTTGCTGATTAGCATCTCTCTCTCTCTCTCTCTCATGTGTTTGTGAATTTTTTTCCCAGTGCCATATTGAGAATTAGTTCTCAAAATGTTTAAAATAACTGAGATGCCTTTGTTTCTAATTCTTTCACCATGTTGCAATGACATCCTCACTCCTAGCTTACAACCAAAATCTCTTGCATTAATCCTGAAAGTACTGGTTTGGTTTAGTTTTTTTGAATTGTTTTGTATTTTTATTTTTATTTTGTCTGTAGTAATCTTTTTCATATTTTTTTTTTTACTTTTTAGAAGCACTTAAAAAGTAAAATATTGGGCAAATTACACTAGTAGTCCCTTTATTTGGCCCTTGTATCATTTTGGTCTTTATAATTTCAAGTGGCTTAATTTTGATTCTTATTTTTTTCTATTGTGTCAGTTTGGCCTAATTGTGACAACTGTTAGCATTTTTTTGAAATGAAAAATGTGCCCATGAACATGCATCATGTTTTTACGGGCAAAATTGTAAACTTGATCAACTCAGCGAGTTAATTTCAATCAATTCAATGATCATTTTCTATCAAAAACCCTAATAGCATTATCAATTGGACCAAATTGATATGAAATCTAAAAACCAAGGGTTAAAATTGAGCCTAAGAAGCATGGACATGTAACACGATGCAGACACGACACGGATACGTGAGCATGCAAATTTTCAAAAAATATAGAGCACGACACATTGGAAACACGTGCCAAATATATATTTATATATATTCATTATGTGTCATGTTTTTAAACATTTAATATTTATTTTATGTCGAAAATTTAATTTTATCAAATTTATCAACCTAAGACCATCTCTAATGGTTCATTAAATCCATCATCAAATTTAAATTTGATAAAAAAAGTTACTTTTTGCTCCTCTAACAGTTCATCAAATCTAAGATTTCACTTTTCTTTCATCAAACTAAGAATCAGTGTGTCTTTCATCAAATCACTATTTATTGCCGTTGGATTTTCACCACCGGATATCCCCCGGATGACCACCTCACGGCAAAAATTTGTGAAAAAATTACACTGGCCGGTCAACCAGTAGTTTGATGAAGCTGCAAACCCTATGTTTGAGCACTTGATATCAAAGAGAGCTTTTACTCAAATTTGGTAAAAAAATTGATGCACTGTTGGAGATGCCCTAATTTATGCTATTATAGTAAACAATATTTATTAAAAAAAAAAAAAAAATTGTTGACAAAAATGGTCCTCATTGTGTCCTTTGCGTGTCCCCAACGTGTCCAAAGTGCCCCAACATGTTCGACTCTGTCTAGCATACGTCACCTCCAAAGAGGTGTCTGTGCTTCATAGGAATGAGCCAATTAAAAATGTTGGAACCAAAATGACATGGGAGGCAAAATTAGGAATGGCAACGGGGCGGGGCGGGGCCGAGGATCACACTCCCCGTCCCCGATCCCCGATGGTGGAAATACCCCCGTCCCCGGCCCCGATTCCCGACGGGGAACCCATAACCACCCCCATCCCCGTCCCCTAACAGGGATCGGGTTTCCCCGACCCCGAAATTCCCCGACCAATTGATCAACATGTTCATCAACAAACAGAGAGAGAGAGAGAGAGATTTTTTCAACAACAGATCAACAAACAAAATTTTTTTTAACAACACATATTACAAACACAAGAACAAAAAAAAAAAAAAAAAATCTGTATGTATACATTACAGATCTGTTCAACACACTGTGTTACACACACACACACAACAGATATATTGTTCATCAACAGATATAATATAAATAACTTGGAAAAAAAAAATTGTGCATCAATGAACAACAGATATGTATATATATATAGAGAGAGAGAGAGAGGGGGGGCTTCATCACGATCTGTCCTGGTCATGGTCGTGGCTGCAGATCGGTGGTGGTGGTGGTGGTGGTGGCTTCAGATCGGTGGTGACGGAGGAGCAGGAACGTCGTTCGTTGTGTGACAGAGAGAGCGGCAGTAAGAGAGGATGATCGGCGGCGAGGTACAAGCAGCGGCGATGGACGATCGGCAGTTACGGACGAGAACTGAGCTATGTACGGCGATGGACGATTGGCGGTACGAGCAGCGGCGAAACCCTAGCTCTTGGCAACGGCATAGAGAGAGAGAGAGAGAGAGAGTGAGAGAGAGAGAAGCGTGTTTTGTTTTGTGTTGTGTGTGAGAGAACTGAGCAGTGTTTCAACACAAAACCCTACACGCGCATATATATACGGAAAGGCAAATTAGTAATTTTACATCGGGGATTATTCGGGGCGGGGATCGGGGTCGGGGTCGAGCCGGGTCCGGGACTGAAACACATATCCTCGTCCCCGGCCCGAAGATCACCGGGGATACATTTTTTAATACCGCCCCCGACCCGTCGGGGGTATTTTTTCGGGAATCACCACTTAATTTGGGGTCGGGGGGTCGGGTCCCCGTCGGGCCGGGTTCCGATTGCCATCTCTAGGCAAAATGTAGGGACTAACAGTGTAATTTGCCCTAAAATATTTGTGAAGAAATATGAAAAAAAATAGTTTACTAAAAAAATATGTATATATATGAAAATGTGCTGCTTTTTTTTTTTGTTTTTTTTTTCCCTGGGTAACTAGATGCATCTAAAAGACAAATCAGTAAAATCTTAAAATCAATTTTTGACTTTGAAAACCAACAAAAGGATAATATAAGACTATAAATTTGACAATCATATGACTACACACTGGGTTCGTTTGGAATGTGGGTTGGCTTTTTGACTATTTTAGTCTGGGATTAAAAAGCCTCGTTTGGGATGAATTTTTGGCTTTTTTGACTTTTGTGAAAGAAAAATGAAATGATTATGGTTTTGATGTGACATTTTATCTTATTGGCTTTTCAACTTATTTTGTCTTTTTGTGGCTATTTTAGCCCTGTAGCCTCTTCCCAAACGAGTGCACTACATGATCACGTCCAACTTTAAAATGTAGAATTGTTTGCTCGGCTAAAAGATACTCAGAACCATATTCTTCAACAACAGGTGAGATTTCCTCTCGCTTAATGTGGCCGTCTATTGAATGATGCAGGTGATGAGGAAAGCAATAACCCAGAAGTAGTATCTTTACCAAGCGAACTCCCAAAGAAAGTTCGTCATGATAAGGCCCCTAATTCAACTTCTGTGTTTGATGATGAGGTGGCTGAATTCCATCTAAGCAATTATTACCAATAAGATGCTCAGAAGTTGTAAGCCCGAGCATGTACCAGCTTTGATGAATGTTTAAGTTAGGGCAAACTTATGAATAAGCTTGAGCCATGGTGGTGATGAAGGAGGCTAAGCAACGTGTCAAAGAGGCAAGTTGCTCTGAGGTAAACTCCTCAACACCCCCTACTTATGGAGAGCAAAACGATATCAAATGTAATCCTTTAGTAACATTTTGTGTGACTGTGAAAGCCATTTGGATTTTTTTTATGTTTTGTGAGTTTTTGTAAGACTCCCTATGCAACTTTTGAAACTCACAAGACTTAAATTACACCTAATTTTGGAAATCCTTTGTTGGTTGCGCTCTTATTTTCTTCTGTTTTGTGAATTCTCTCCCAATTTTTTTTCAAGATTTTGGGTTCTCAACAATTTGATCTTTTGTTTATATCGATGCGAAGGTCAAAGTAGATCTTAAACTATTAAGGGTGAGTTCAGGACACCCCTTTTAAGTAATATGTGATCAATATATATATATCACTTGAAAGGGAGGATTTCCATCACATTTTCAAAAGTTTGTAATTATTATTTTTAAATTTAAAATTATGATAAATTTTTATGGTTATTACATAACTCTTAGATGATGTAATGGATCTTAGTCTTATATATATACTAGTGCAAATTGCTCGTGCAAGGCACGGGTTACCATTGTGATGAATTAAAACTTTAAAAATAAAAATATTCAAACAAATTATTCTATTTTGTTTGATTTTTTAAAAATTATTTTTAGATGATTTTTTTGTCTTTTTTAATGAATTTGCTTTCATATTTTATTTTTTTATAAATATTTTGTAGATGTACCTAATCTTGATGCATCTAAAAAGTAAAATAAATCAACTAAATTTTTTAAAAAATTCGCAAAAAGTAAACCAAAATCTAAACAAAAACTTGTTTGTATTTTTGTTTAGATTTGCATTTAATTTTGATGAACTGTTTTTTTTTTCTTTTTTTTATAATAATTTTAAATGCATCTCAGTGTGATATATGTAAAAAAAATATTTAAAAAAAGAAAAAGAAAAAAGAAAGACTAAAACATGAAATAAAAAAATTTAGTAAAGACGCGTGGGAACTTACATCCTTTCTAGTAGGGCACAAAGCAATTGGTGCAAACGAGTGTATAAGACAAAAAGAAATGCTAAAGGAGATGTTGAAAAATAGCAAGATTGGTCGGGAAAGCCTACAAGTAACAACATGGTATAGACTATGATGAAATTTTTGCTCTAGTAGCACGTCTAGAAAAGGTACGACTTTTTGTCTCTTTAGCAGCCTAGAAAAAATGAAAGATATACCAAATGGATGTCAAATCAGTATTCTTAAATAGTTATCTTGAAGAAGAAGTGTATGTTGAACCGTCATTAGGCTATGTGAAGCCAGATCAACAAGATAAGGTATATTAATTAAAGCGAGCACTTTATGGCTTAAAGCAAGCACCAAGGGCATGAAATGCAAGAATCGACAAGTATTTTGTTGCCAATGGGTTTGTTAAATGTCTTTATAAACATTCCCTATATTTCAAGACAAATAAGGGGGGAGATTCGCTATTTGTTTGTCTTTACGTCGATGATCTAATATTCACAGACAACAATCTTAATATGATCTGAGATTTCAAAACATCCATGATACAAGAGTTCAAGATGATAGACATTGGACTCATAGCATATTTCTTGGACATAGAAGTCCAGCAAAGTAATGAAGGTATTTTTGTATCACAAGCTAAGTATGCCAAAGAAATCATAAAGAAGTTTGGCATGGCAAATTGTCAAGATATCAACACACCGACAGATGGAAGTAACAAGATGTCCAAGTATGATGAAGGAGATAAGGTTAATCCAACGTATTTTAAAAGTCTAGTTGGAAGCCTAAGATATCTCACAGCTACACGACCTGATATATTGTTTGCAATAGGCTTAGTTAGCAGGTATATGAAGGAATCCAAGACGCCACATTTGAAACCAGCCAAAAGAATCCTACGTTATGTGAAAGGTACAATAGAGTACGGATTGTTTTATTCATCTATTGAAAAGTCTAAATTAGTAGGATACAGCGACAGTGACTGGGCAGGTGATATGGATGATCATAAAAGTACTACCGGGTTTGTGTTTTATCTTAGAGATATTGCTTTTATGTGGTCGTCAAAGAAATAACCGATAGTAACTCAATCGACATGTGAAGCAGAGTATGTAGCTATTGCTGCAGGAGCATGTCATGCTATCTGGTTAAGAAATCTGCTAAAAGAAGTTTAAGAACCACAATAAGAAGGCACAGAGATATACGTGGATAACAAGTCAGCAATCCAATTAGGAAAGAATCAAGTCTTCCATGATAGAAGCAAGCATATCGACACAAGATTTCATTTCATACGAGAATGCATAAGAAAAGAAGAGATCTAGTTGATACACACGAAAAGTGAAGATCAAGTTGCAGACATATTTACAAAGCCCCTCAAAACAACTACATTTGTGAAACTAAGGAAAATGCTTGGAGTTACCTTATTTGGTGATTCAAGTTTAAGGGAGGATGTTGGAGAATAAACTTGACTCTTCAAGTAGTCTCCAGAAGCTGCTTGAAGATGGAAGAAGAGATTGAAGAAACAGCCATGAAGCTTCCTTGAAGCTCACCAAGTCAGAAACTTAGAAGGTAAGAAATTGAATTCAAAATCACAGCTGTAAATTCACACACGGTTGATACACGGATCAGAAACCTATAAATAGATTGTTAGGTTGTTATTATAGATATCAATCAATCAATCAATAAATCAAGAAACCGAAAAGAGGTTTGAGAGATAGAGAGGTGGGAGACAAAACCAGCAGATTGTATTTATTATTTGTTTGAAAATAAATTCATTCATTTGTTTGTGTGAGACATCATAGATATTCATACAAATATATAGAAGCCCACCATCACTCGTGTTGCCTCATACTTCTGATAGTTGTACCTGCACAATTTTATGACCTTTGTTTCATTGTTTAAAGCATCTAAAAACAACAAGATCTCTTTGATATGGTTGTTGTGGCTGGCCATACAACATGCTCTGTGATCATTTTTTTTTAAATCTTTTCTTTTGCTTATCAATTTGTCTCTTTTAGCGACCTAATCCCCCAAAGGTAAGGAAAAAAAGCTGAAAAGGTAGCAGTAGGGAAGCAACGCTCGAAAGGTCTCATGTATGCTTCCAATCAAAGTAATGTCCTGACATTACTTTGCTGATTAGCATCTCTCTCTCTCTCTCTCTTTCTCTCTCTCTCATGTGTTTGTGAATTTTTTCCCAGTGCTATATCGAGAATTAATTCTCAAAATGTTTAAAATAACTGAGATGCGTCTGTTTCTAATTCTTTCGCCATGCTACAATGGCTTCCTCCTAGCTTACAACCAAAATCTCTTACACTAATCCTGAAAGTACTGGTTTGATTTAGTTTTTTTGAATTGTTTTGCATTTTTTTTTTTTGTCTTTAGTGAACTTTTTCAATTTTTTTTACTTTTTAGATGCACCTAAAAGTAAAAGTAGTCCCTCTATTTGGCCTTTGCATCATTTTGGTCTTTATAATTTCAAATGGCTCAATTTTGATCCTAGTTTGTTTTATTGTGTCAATTTGGCCCAATTGTGACAAATGTTAGCATTTTTTTTAAAGGGTAAATTACAAATACACCCCCTGATATTTGCTTAAAATACGAATTGCCCCCTGTGGTTTGGAAAATTACAAATGCCTCCCTGTTAAAATTTTTTATTTAACAAAATTAATTGAAAAAGTGAAATTTCTAACTGTTCACCTATACAATAATAAAATTATCTGAATTATTAATTGAAATAAAATTTTGACATTATTAAAACTGTTAATTAACTTGGTGATTTATTAATAAAAGGACCTATTTGTTATGAAATTAGAAATCCTAGGGGCATAATGTAATTTCTAGAACCACAGGGGGTTATTTGTAATTTAAGTAAACATCAAGAGTGTATTTGTAATTTACCCTTTTTAAAATGAAAAATGTGTCCATGAACATGTGTCATGTTTTTACGGGTAAAATTATAAACTTGATCAACATAGTGAGTTAATTTTAATTAATTCAATGATCATTCTATAAAAAAAAAAAAAAAAAACTCTAACAGCATTATCAATTGAACCAAATTGATACAAAATCTAATACCAAGGTTAAAATTGAGCCTAAGAAGCAAGGACACATAACACGATATGGACATGAAATGGACATGCGAGCACACAAATTTTCAAAAAATATAGGGCACGACATGATGGAAAGACATGCAAAATATATAATTTTTTGTATTTATTATGTGCCATTTGTTTAAATGTTTAATATTTATTTTATGTCAAAAATTTAATTTCATCAAATTTATCAATCTTAGGTATCCTATCATAGTAAACATTTTTTTTTTTTTTGTGATAAAAATGGTCTTCATTGTGTCCTTTGCATGTCCCCAACGTGTCCTCAACGTGTCCCCAATGTGTCCGTAGCGTGTCCAAAGTGTCCTAGCATGTTCGACTCTATCCAGCTTACGCCACCTCCGGAGAGGTGTTCATGCTTCATAAAATGGGTCAAATAAAAGTGTTATGACCAAAATAACATGAGGGGCAAAATATAGAGACTAACGGTGTAATTTGCCCTAAAATATTTGTTAAGAAATATGAAAAAAAAGTTCACTAAAAATTTTTTAAAAAAAAAGAGTATGAAAATGTGCTCTTTTTTATGTTTTTTTCCTGGGTAACCTAGATGCATCTAAAAGACAAAACAATAAAAACTTAAAATCAGTTATTGACTTTGAAAACCAAACAAAAGGATATTATAAGACTACAAATTTGACAATCATACGACTACACAATCATGTCTAACTTTAACATGTAGAATTGTTTGCTCTGCTAGAAGATACTCAAAGCCAAGTTCTTCAACCACAGGTGAGATTTCCTCTTGCTTAATGTGGCCTTCTATTGAATGATGCATGTAATGAAGAATGCGATAACCCAGAAGTGGTATCTCTGCCAAGCGAACTCCCAAAGAAAGTTCGTCATGGTAAGGCCCCTAATTCAGCTTCTGTGTCTGCGTCTGATGACGAGGAGGCTGAATTTCATCTAAGCAATTATTGTTGGATAATTGGTTTTTTATAGGCTTATTTTGGGCCAACTTTGAGCCCAAAATAGAGAGGGTCTCACACTTCTTTTGGGGTGGGTCCGAAGAGGTGATGTATTCCTTTCCGCGTAGCAAATCACATGGTGAAGACGGTTCATCAAAATTATTTATGAGTGAATGGGAACTTGACGTCGTTTTCAGATTCTTGGAATGGACATTTAAAGAATTAAATGTGAGTTTCCTTGAAATAAGTTGTCCCACTTTGAAACTTTAAGATAGCTTTTGTAAGTATATAAGCTCTTGGTGTACTAACTTGGGTTGGGCCCCAAGGGACACCCGAAGTTTGTAGAAGGGAGGAGTTATGGACAAAGTGAACATTAGCCCAAACCACCACACGCGCCACCGCCGTCCGACTGTGCCGAGAGTGGGTGTGGGTCAGTTCTAATATTAATTTTTTCCAAAAATTCTTAACGAAATTAATTAAACTTGAATTTAAATTCCTGTCCAATGTTTCCTCTTCTAATCTAATTTTTCCAAGCAGTTTTCAGATCTGTTGGAGCCCGAACAGATTTAAATCTGCCAGCAGTTTTTCCAACAAATATAAACTGCCTAGCAGTTACCTATTTAAACTGTTCTGCACCTATTGGATTCAAATTCTACCTGTTCAGTCCTAGACATTCCAGCAGATTTTTTTCATATCCGAAAATCATCATTTTGCTGTCCGGTTTTGTTCCTTTGCATAAATTCTCTTCATATTATTTTTAGGAAAATTAAAGAGAGTATAGAACACAAGATTTTGTTCGCCGTACAAGTTGTTTGGAGTGCTATTACAATTTGTGAAGATCATTTTATCCTGGGAGATAAACGCCACTTGTCCGTAAGCACCGTAGCGGGGCGAATCTGTCTTAAGGACAGAGTATCACACACTCGACTTGATTTTTTTATTATTCATTCAGTTTGGTAAAATAAATTCGGTACGTTATTTATTTTATTTGTTTGATTTAGTTTCAATTTATTTATTGTACACAGAAGATTGTTCCAACAATTATTACCAATAAGATGCTTGGAAGTGTGAGCCCGAGCATGTACCAGCTTTGATAAATGGTTAAGTTAGGGCAAACTTATGAATAAGCTCGAGCCATGTTGGTGATGAAGGCGGCTAAGCGACGTGTCAAGGAGGCAAGTAGCTCTGAGGTTAACTCCTTAACCACCCCTACTTATGAAGAACAAAACGTAATCAAATGTAATCATTAAGTAACAGTTTGTGTGACTTTGAAAGCCATTTGGATTGTTTTTATGTTTTGTGTGTTTTTTATATGACTCCCTATGAAGTCTTTTGAATTACACCTGCTTTTGGAAATCCTTTCTTGGTAGTGGGTGGTTTAAATCTATTGATATGTAGAAAATTTAATGTATAAAGAGAAATAGAGAATTGTATAGATATTGATTGTATTATTGATAGATGTATTGAATGTTACAATGATTCCTATATATAGAAGAGTAGGTGGTAGTAGGTGGTAGATGGAGTAGGTAAAGTGGAGGTGGTAGTGGTGTAGTGGGTTAGGTTTAGTGGAGTAGGTGAAGTGGTAGTGGTGTAGTGGGTTAAGTTTAGTGGGTGAAGTAGGTGATAGGTTTTAACAAAAAAGTAACCTGAATAACTTGCAGTGTTTGAAAAAAGTTACCTGGAATAACTTGTAGTGTGTGGCAGCTTTTAGCACATCCAAAGAAGACTGAGAATCGGCAAAGACGGATTGCAAGTTTTCCTCGATGATTTTCTCAATATCTTCAGCTGTGTATGGTTCTTCACTTAAGAGTTCCTGTAGCAATGCCACAAGCTAATGTAACCTGACATGTATGGGTAGATAAAAACATATCTGTTTACTTGAGAACAACATAACCAAAAATCCATGATTATACGTTTGTAAGAACCATCTAACGGTGTTAGACAAGTAGAGGCATGATTTTATTGAGGGAAAACAGAAACAAACAAAGAAATGATTGCAACAACCTTGCTGCATAAAATAAATAAATAGATACCTTGACCGCAAGGACAGGGTCAGAAGATCCATGTCTGCCAGCAAACGATACACACAACCCTTCAACATCAGAAAGAGTTTTCACTTCGGATATTGCTTCTTGCGGTTTCATTCCAAGCTTTATACCGAGTAAAATCTACAGTCTCCACTATTGTGAGTACAACAGACATTTTACAGTAGGAAACTGAAAGCATTTGGAAGTCTTTTTACCCGTTGGAAAAATCAAAGAATGAAAACTCTTGATTTTACAATTCCAAAACCTGCTAATAAATACTTGAGCACACAATTCCAAATCTACATACAAATTGGTTTCACCTTCAAGTAATTAAATCCAAAAAGAAACAATTTAATACAGAGCTCCAAACTAACAAGTCTTTTTTCCCTTCCATTAGCACAAGGGGAAGAGAAAACCATGACTTTCTCAGATATTAAACTCATACAAGTACCCAAAACAAACAAATGAATGACAGTTTGCTGTGAATCTCCACGCCCAAAGCTAAAAGAAGAGATCAGTTAAAAAATGAGGAGAGTTGAGCTTCAAAACAGGGAAAGGAAGAGGAATACAAGGGGAGAAGAAATGAGTTCCCTTACGTGCGGACCCTCAGCCATCTTTTATCCTGGTCCTCTCCGTTGTCTCGCCTGCCTCGTTCGTTTCTGTTTGGATGGTCTACCGTGTTGACCTTTGCTGAGGCCTTCTTCTCTGGTACTGTGGTCGTGCCAGATTTTGTTTTGGCACGTGCGCCATCCTCTTCTACCCTAATGTGCTGATGCATTCTTTCCATCAAGGCTTCCATGGTGAGGGGTGGTGTCATGGTGATTGAGTCCCTTAGTCTATTCCCGACTGGAAGGCCTCTTTTGTACTGTGCAATGGCGAGATTGGTAGGGCAGTCCCCAATTTGGTTGAATGTCTCCCAGTAGCGACTATTGTAGGACCTTAATGTCTCTTTTTCGCCCATGTCAATGGAGAGTAGCTGGTCGATCTCCACTAGGGTCTTGGTGTTTGTTCTGAACCTTGTGACAAACACTTCTGCCAATTGTGTCTAGGAGGCTATGCTGCCTTCTAGAAGCTTTTCAAACCAAGTCAAGCCTAGATCGCCAAGGCTTGATGGGAAGAGGATGCACATTAGAGCCTCGTTTCGCCGATATACCGCCATGACCTGGCAGAAGTGGCTTAGGTGAATGTAGGGGTCCGTCTTCCCCTCGTACGTAGTGAATTTGGGCTGAAGGAAGCCTGTAGGTAGGGGCGCGTTTTCGATTGCCGGAACGAACGGCGAGGTTTGCAACCTTGCTAATGCTTTGTCCGTCGGTTCATAGGCAGGGCGTGGTAATGGCATTCCAACCTCGACGCTTCCATACGATCGATGAGCCAATCGTTGAAGGGCAGAAACTCTGCGAGGGTCGCACGACCTGGTGTCCTCCTTCCATCGTGCCTTTTCTTCCAGCATGATCCGTAAATCGGATGATCTTGGCAACTCCGTCTGTTTGGATGATGTTTGGTATGAGTGTGAGGGTCGGTAGGTACTCCCCTCTGTGTAAGACCTCAATGATCTCGGTCTCTCAGATCTGGAGTAACGAGTTCTGGAGGTTCCAGACTGAGTATTGCCTGTCCTGAGGCTTCTACTCTCTGCTTGTGATGGTGTTGAATGCCTTCCATGGTCTTCTGAGTGGTGAGGGGGCGTCTTGTTTTTGCGCCCCTCTCTTGTCGCCACTCTTTTTCCCTTCATCTGGCGCTTTAAGGCTTCCATGTCGGCCACCATCTTCCTTATTAATTCGTCTTGCTCTTTCACGCGGTCCTCCAGAACTTGAGGATCAATCCTCCGCCTTTGCCTGTCAGGACTTTGTGAATGAGAGTGATGGGGGCTGTGAGTCCGCCTTCCCCTAGTATCTCTTCTGGGGTTATGCCGTTGGGACTCCAAGTCCGCCATGGGAGGGATAGAAGGTAATCCTTCACGCCTTGCGCCCCCATCTGGAGTTTGCCCGTCGATGGCGGACTGTGGCAATTCTTCAATGTGTGCCATTGTTCCTAAAGAGGTAAAGCTTGATCAAGAGGTTTTGTCCTGTCTGATTTTCCCACAGACGGCGCCAATTGTACGGGAAAGAAATAAACCTTATCGTATAATCCTGTTGATCAAGTCTGTGCTCCTCTGTACGTCGTCGCTTTATCACCTGAAAACACAAACGTGGGCTAGTCGGCAGATGTGTGCCGGAAACCTCTCCGATGCCTAAGTCAGCAAGCTTGACAAATAGACAAAAGCTTTGTTTATTCAGAAAGCAAAGTTGTGTGTTACCTCTCCAAATGTGATGTTGTGAGCTTTTATAGGTTCCGTGTGGCACAATCCTAGTAGGACTTTTACTTCTCCATGCAGAGTCCTCCTAGGATTCATACTCCTGAAAGATAATGCTTATCCTTCAACACCCCCCTCACTGCTTAAACCAAGTGAGATGGTTTTATCATGGCCGAACTCCAATATGACCGAAGTAAACATGACTATGCATAGCCGCAGAATAAGCCGAACTAGCTCTTCCTTTTACTGCTTTTATGTCGGCTTCTCATGCACAACCCATGGCGTGGTTAGACCGAACAAACATGTCATGACTGGTGTAACTCCAAGACCGGTCTAACTCCAAAGTACCGTTAGACCGATCTAACTTCGATCTTCTGTCGGACCGGACTAGCTTCACGGCCTTAGGACCGGACTAACTTCAGAATATCCACACGACCGGAGTAACTTACATGGCCATTTTACTCGGCCCTTTGTACTGCGGCTTATAACGGCCCATTACCCAACTCGGCCCAATTTTCACATAAATTACCCTCTCAGATCAATATATATATATATATATATATATTACTTGCAAGGGAGGATTTCCATTACATGATTTAAAAGTTTGTAATTATTATTTCTAAATTTAAACTTATGATAAATTTTCATGGTTATTTCATAACTCTTAGATGATGTAATAGATCTTAGTCTTATAAATATACTAGTGTAAAATGCCCGTGCTACTATTGTGGTAAATTTAAATTTTAAAAATAAATATATTCAGACAAATTATTCTATTTTGTTTGATTTTTCAAAAATTAGTTTTAGATGATTTTTTGACTTTTTTAATGAATTTGCTTTCATATTTTATTTATTTATTTTAGATATTTTGTGGATGTACCTAATCTTGATGCATCTAAAATGTTAAATAAATCGACTAAATTATTTAAAAAATTCACAAAAAGGAAACTAAAATCTAAACAAAAATTTGTGTATATTTTTGTTTAGATTTGCATTTAATTTCAATGAACTCTTCTTTTTTTTGTTTTGTTTTTATTTTTGTTTTTGTCTTTTTAAATCTCAAAACCGTTTAAAAATCATATCTAAAAATTCAAATCAAACAAAAGATTTGCAAAATTATATTTGAGTTTTTTGTTTTCTCACTTTTTTTATGAGTAAATTACACTGCCCTTTTATATGGCCACTTTCCCACTTTTGACCCTTAAAATTTATTTTTTCTTATTTTGGCCTTTTATGTTTTAAGTTTTTCTCAATTTATTCCTAAAGCTAACTTTTGTTTAAAAGTAGACAGAAAATGTCACAATAACTCTCACATAATATATAAAATATATTATTATAGGGTTTAAGTTTATGTAAGAGAAGTGAGTCACATATAATAAAATATTTTGATTCACGTGACGTGACTATTATTGTGTCATTTTTTGTCTAATTTTTAACATAAATTAATTTAGGAATAAATTGAGAAAAACTTGAACTATGACGGGTCAAAATGGAAAAAAAATATACTTTAAGGGCCAAAGTGAGCAAATAGCCAAACATAAAAGGGGCAAAGTATAATTTTATTTCTAATAAACTTTTTTCATATTTTAATTAAATTTTATACTTGTTTTGATGTGTCTAATCTAAATATATTTAAAATTTTAAACAGTAGTATGCATTCACATGATTATAAAATAAATTCTTTTATTGTCATTATCCATCCAATAAGAATAATTATGGATGAAATTGATCAAAAAGAAAATAGTGTAATTACATTAGAAGGTTTCAAGACAAACTATTTGCTGAGAGAAAATGAAGGGCAATTTCAATAGTCAATGCCAAAAAGCATGTCATTTTGCACTTCTCAAGTATCAACGAACTCTTATAGTAAGGTCAAGTTTGACATGACTTAAATAATATAAAAAGTTAAAAAGTCACTATCCTATTTAAGTCACATCATTTTATTTAAATCACATCACTTCTCTAATACATCACATCAAACCCAACCTAAACCTAGAATCCGGATCCTCGGCCGCCCTTCTCGGCGGCCGTTCCCAGCAGCCCCCCAAAACGACGTCGTTTTGGGGGTTTTCTGATTTTTTTTTTTCTTTCTTCTTCCTTCTTCGCAGAACCAGAGCAGATGGGAGGGGAGGGGAGGGGAAGAAGAGAGAGAGAGGAAGGGGAGGGGAAGAAGAGAGAGAGGAAGGGGAGGGGAGGGGGTCCGGATTCGCCGAAGACTCGCCGTCGCCTCGCCTCGCCTCCGCCGTCGCAGGTCGTCCAGCCGTCCGATCGTCGCCTAGCCTCCGCCTTCGGCCCGCCTCCGCCTCCTCCTCCTCCTCCCCCGGTGATTATGGCCCCCTCCAGTCCGGCCCACCGGCGGCTCGCCTCCCCTCCCCCTTTCTCTCTTCTTCCCCTCCCCTCCCCTCTGGTTCGTTCGAACGAGGAAGAAGAAAGAAAAAAAAAATCAAAAAAACCCCCAAAACGACGTCGTTTTGGGAAAACAAAGTTGTGTTACCTCTCCAAAGGTGATGTTTGTGAGCTTTATAGATTTCGTGTGGCACAATCCTAGTAGGACTTCTACTCCTCCATGCAGAGTCCTCCTAGGATTCATACTCCTGAAAGATAATGCTTATCCTTCAACACCCCCCTCACTGCTTAAACCAAGTGAGATGGTTTTATCATGGCCGAACTCCAATATGACCGAAATAAACATGACTATGCATAGCCCCAGAATAAGCCGAACTAGCTCTTCCTTTTACTGCTCTTACGTCGGCTTCTCATGCACAACCCATGGCGTGGTTAGACCGAACAAACATGTCATGACCGGTGTAACTCCAAGACCGGTCTAACTCCAAAGTACCGTTAGACCGATCTAACTTCGATCTTCCGTCGGACCGGACTAGCTTCACGGCCTTAGGACCGGACTAACTTCAGAATATCCACACGATCGGAGTAACTTACATGGCCATTTTACTCAGCCCTTTGTACTGTGGCTCATAACGGCCCATTACCCAGCTCGGTCCAATTTTCACATAAATTACCCTCTCAATTGCCCCTTAATTCCATCTGCCTAGCATGATTGGGATTATCTGTCAACTAGCCGAGCTATAAACTTTCAACCTTTCCAACCAAGCTACCTTCACACCGAGCTCTGGCTGTCCGGTAGTAACGTCTCTTCAATCACAGAGACTGAAACGCTTCCCATTCTAATGACACGTGGCATGCTCTGATTGACTGAGGACGGCTGTCACGCCGTCTTCGTACTTCGTGAAATTT